AAGAAATGTTATGTCACACATGGCTTTACAATCAATAAAACAGAACAAAAACTATGATTTTTCAGACGTTAGAATGTTTGTGGAGAATTGCTAAATGTATCTGAAGCTAACTCATTCCAATGTTTGCACTATGCAGGAACCAAAACCTGGTGGTCAAAGAAGCTTCAATAATGCCCAATTATATTTCTCTTAAAATGTGTCATTTTTCTTCCACTATTAATAAACAGAAAATTTATTCTCATAAAATGATTCAAAGAAAGGAAAATTAATTACCTAAAACACACACACACACACACATATATATATATCAGCTTTATCTTTGGAAAAAATTTAAAATTCCCTAAATATCTAATAGTAGTAGGATGATTACATTAAATGTTATGAAAAAATGTTATGCATGTATTTAAATGGAAAATTCAACTGTTAATATTACCTAGAAATGCCAATTTCCCAAACATATTTTTTGTAACAATACTTGTGGAGTAATATTAAGTTAAAAATGTTTTAAAATACAACATTCACTCTGATTGCAACTAAGTAAAACTTACATACATGTATAAACAAACAGTGGAAAGACAATGACTGCTATGTTATATGTTGAAAGTACAGAAAAATGATTTTGAAGTTTTAAATCCTTTATAAGGTCTACCTCTGGATAAAAGTATAATTATTATAATATACTAAGGTGATACCTTGAACATTTTCTTCTTCATAGTAAAATGCTGTATTTTTCAACAAAAGCTCATCACTTAAGTCGGAAAGGTGAGTTAAATTCAGATTTCAAAATTCAAAAACATTTATATTACTTAGGATGAAACAGTCACACCAATTTTTCTGAAAATTGGAAATAAAACCAAATTATTGACAATTTCTACATTAGCAATAAACTCTAACATGATCTCAAACACGCCAATTATCCAGCTGAAAGGTAAGGTAGCCAGGCTCCTCCCTTTTTTACTGATGTGAGCCCTTCTGAGCTGGTTAATGAGTGCTTTATATCTTGCAAGATTAAAGCTAAAATAAAATCAAACTGAACAAAAAATGAATTCATAGTTCTGTATTCTGAATCACAGAAATCTGTATTTCATGCTTAATACATTTTTTTCTCCTACTGTAACCCACAGATCCAAGACTACCGAAATACTGCTTTCAAATGTGCATCTATTCTTTACTTAGGCTTTAATGTTTTCCATTTTATTTCCAGGTCAAAAGAGCATTAAAAAAAAAAGGAGCATTTGCTCATTCGAGGATCTAGAAGATGCTGAAACCTTCAAACCCAAAAGATTCTCATTAGCTTACATCATTGTGCAGCCACCAAGTTAACAAAAGTGCATCTATGTCCCCGCCAGTCGCAGGCAGGATGTCTCCCTAAGCATGCTTAGCACAGAGCAAGGCAGACACGAGTTCAGTAACTTCAGTGAGTGAGTGGAGCCATCCTTTCATCAGTGTTAGAGTCTGGAGAGTTAGGTTCAGAGGGGGAAAAAGCAGGCTCTCTGCCCCACACTCCCTCACTGATAAAACACTCAGGCTCTCCTGTCATCTGGATTGATGTGGAACTGAATCCAGAGTAACCCAACAGAAGTGTAATACAGGCAAGCTGCAAATGTTAGTATAAATCTTCTGGATGTCACATTAAAAAAGAAACAAGCTGAAATTCATTTTATTCCATTCAACCCAACACATCCAAAATATTATCATTTCAATGCATAATCAATGTAAAAATATTAACAGAACAGCTTACATGTTTCTCATACTAAGTTTTTGAAATATGGTGTCTTTTAGACTTATCCACGTCTCAAGTGCCCACTGTCCACTTGGGGCTGCTGGCTACTGCGCTGGGCAGCTCAGCTCCAACCAGGTAACTCAGGATGGCTGCCCATGGTTCCTGATTAAACCATACATATCAAAGAAGCAGGGACCTCTCACCTTGACTGTAGTTTTTTCTACAAATAAAGCACTGAGGAGATTTCCTTAGAGCCATAGAGCAGTGATTCTCAAACTGCAGCATAAGCCTTGCCTGGAAAGGTTATTAAATACGACAGATTGCTGGGCACCACCCACAGAGATTGATCCCGTGGGTCCGGGTGGACCCAGGAATCTGCATTTCTATCAAGGTCCCAGGTGATGCTGATACCGTTTGCCAGGGGACCTCACTTTGGGAACCACGCACATGAGGTCTGTCTCCACCCCCAGGCCACAGATCCTTCCCCATCACACCACTGAGTCAACAGTAATGTGTGAGAACAGGACACCAGAAGTCCCCCACGTTACTCACTCCATCCGACAGGCACCGCAGGTGGTCTCTAACTGTGAAGACTGGAGCAAACATGAAACACCCCCTGCAGTTTGCTGAGCTGCTCAGTTTCTCCAGAGGCCTCAGAATGTACCATTTACTGCCAAAATGTCTTAGGCTCCCTGAAGTTACGCTTCCAGGTGCTGGGGCTACCCACGTGAAGCTCAGAGAAGGGGGAGACCAGAGGAGGGCTGAGGGGTCATCAGCCACTCCCAACATGGGAGAGCAGAGGGCGGGGGGTGGCACAGGCTTGAGATGAAGCTGGACCTCAACATGGTCATTTGTTTGCTGCACTAAGGGGCCACTTGGCCTTCCTGGACCCAGGTTTTCATTCATAAAATGAGGACATACGAGGAGTGTTGTCTGAATGAGGTAACAGAGGTCAAGGACACACTTAACACAGGCACAGAATAAACAGTGCTCTTCCCACACATCTGGCCATCCACACCACCCTAGCTAAAGAACGATGTTTTCTACCAGCCAAGACCACTGAGCATGTCCTGCAGGGTTACCCAAGAACATCCCATCATTTAGAAAGACTCTGTACTATTCTTTTCATTTAATGCACACTGTGCATTAAAAAATTGTTTATGAAACTCGGATATGTGAAAATTGCACATACAGAGCACTCCTTTGCATCTGTAAATCAATATCACAAATAATATATACATACCATTCAGTAGTAGTACATGTAATTAAACCTACATAAAGTTGGCAAAAATTTAAGTATTTCTCGAAAGTAAATTACAACAAAACTCAAAGCACAACACTGTTGACGCTATATCGTATTATTTCAGTATCTGACGTACAGTATCCCTAGGCTCAGTGTATTGCCCTGGCATGACTTACACTAAGATACCTAAAGTAAATTAAATAGGAGCTAAAGACAGAATCTCCATCCCTTTAGTGAACCACAGTCTGCCTCTTCCTGATGGAATACCAAAAATGCTGAGGGAAGAGTTCTCCATGGGCTCTGGGACACAGGAATGTACTTTCACTGGACACCAGCAGAAGCACAGGATCCTGTGTCCCCTGGGAGAGCTCACGGCTGCAGATCCAGGCCCACCCCTCTGCACCTGGACTGGAACTGCTGCCCGCGCATGCTAAGATCTGCCACAGCAGACATCCCCGAGGCACCACCAGTGAAACCAGCCCAAACCGACAGACTCGGGTTTCCTGACATCTTTATTTCTTAGGAGAAGCCATCCTTCTCAGTCTGAGTGGAGTCTTCTCATTTTCAGGTACTAAAGCATCCTGCAGTTCCTCCTTAACAGTGATTTTAAAAATTCAGTATCTGTCTCTCCCGCAAAACATAGCTCTATGACAGTGCTGGGAGTGGGGGGACTAGGTTCTCAGTTTCCTCCCTGGGACTCACACAATGAGTGTGCGGTGGGTCAACACCTGTGGACTGGCTTCCTAACTGACTGGTTTTAAAGTACTCTCCCTGAGCACTTGGATTCTAAGTGTCAAGATCCGTAAAAAGGTCTGCTAATCCCATTTCTGGGCATGGAGTCCCCAGATTAAAGGGAAACACACACGAAGAACCCGGGAGCAGCACCTATAACACAACAAACGCCCTCTTCACTCCCAGACCGCGCTGTGCCCATCGAAAACAGCCAATAGCCATCACAGAACAAGCTAACCCGGAGTGAGGGAGAAACTGGGGAAACACGTGGAAAGAAAAAGGAATACACTATACATTATATATATCTTCACCTATAACTATGTGTAGTCCCAACGTTAGAAGCAATTACACATAACAGAGAAAACACATTTACACCAAAAAGAATAAACCGAAATATCAACAGTGACCAGCACTGATTTGTGTGGGCTTCTGGGTAAGGCTTTCTTTTGCTGTTTTTTTAAGTCAACGTATTTTTCCCTAAATATCCTCAATAATGGACGAAAATAATAAGCAATCAGACTGCTTTCCTCAGTGGCTCTCAAGAACAGAACACGACGGTCACTATTCTCTCCCGGCTGACATCCCAAAACCCTGGTTTTTGTTTTCTTTTTGTTTTCTTTTTTTTTTTTCTTTTTCTTTTTTTGTTTGTGTAAGTAATTTATTTCTAGAGTACGCTACACTCCTACGGACGAAAAAGTAGTGGGAAAGGGACC